GTCATCCGTCACGGGCCCAGGAACCAGTTAGCTGTACACCAAGCACGTGACCTGGGTCCCTAAGACCAGGTAAGGACTAGATGTTAACGTGCCTGGGCTTGACCACTGTTGCCAACTCCAGCCTAAAGACTAAGCGAGCAGGTCATGGCTCCCTGGGGGGTCTCCCACACACCTCCCTCCATCAGGACCAGCATCTTCAGAGGGGTTTCTCAATACCCCTTGCCACACCGGGACCGTCTGAGGGGACAAAGCAGGAGACAATGTCAAGCCAGTCAAATTAGTGCCGTGTGTTCTTGGGGGGAATGGGGGCCCGGGCAGGGACACCAGCTGGCAGGTGAGGGGCAGGCGGGGCTGTCAGTAACGGTAGTGAGCGGGTTTGAAGGGGCCGTCCACCGGCATGCCCAGGTACTGGGCCTGCTTCCCCGTCAGCTTGGTCAGCTTCACGTTCAGCTTCCCGAGGTGGGCTTCAGCCACTGCCTCATCCAGCTTCTTGGGCAGGAAGTGGACTCCAACGGGGTACTTGTCCGGGTGGGTCCACAGTTCTATCTGCGCCAGCACCTGGTTGGTGAAGGAGTTGCTCATCATGGAGCTGGGGTGGCCCACGGCGCAGCCCAAGTTGACCAGCCGGCCCTCAGCCAGGAGGACGATGCGGCGCCCGTTCTTCAGCCGGTAGCGGTCCACCTGAGGTTTTATGTCCACCTTCTCCACCGAGTTCTCGTTCAGCCGCTTGACATCAATCTCCACGTCAAAGTGTCCGATGTTACACACAACGGCATCGTCCTTCATCTGCTCAAAATGCCGGCCAAGGATGATACCGACACAGCCCGTGGTGGTGACAAAGATGTTGCCCTCCTGACAGGCCTCGTCCATGGTGGTGACCTCGTAGCCCTCCATGGCGGCCTGCAGCGCGTTGATGGGGTCGATCTCAGTGATGATGACACGCGCCCCGAAACCCCTGAGGGCCTGGGCACAGCCCTTGCCCACGTCACCATAGCCTGCGACCACGGCCACTTTGCCGGCAATCATCACGTCTGTGGCCTGCTTGATGCCATCGATGAGGGACTCCCGGCAGCCGTAGAGGTTGTCAAACTTGCTCTTGGTGACAGAGTCATTGACGTTGATGGCAGGCACCTTCAGGATCCCATTGGCCTTCATCTTGTACAGGTTGTGGGCTCCGGTCGTGGTCTCCTCAGAGATCCCCCGAATGCCCGACAAGAGCTGTGGGTACTTGGTGTGAATCAGGTTGGTGAGGTCGC